ATAAATTTTAAGTGATTTTTTATTCACAATTCTAATTATATAACATAAAATTTATATTTATTTAATTATATTAAATATAATATTTAAATTATTTTCTTTCATTAATATATTTTAGTCTATAATTATTTTAATTATAAAGACTTATAATTTAAATAAAAATAAAATTATAAATTAAATGTAGAAACGAATAAATAAAGTTATGGTTTATATTCTTTACGCAATACTTTAAAATGCCCAATAAAATTATGAGAATATCCTTTTTAAAATGAACAAACAAAAACAATTAAGTAATCATAAAATAACTTTCATTAGCTTTTGAAGAGAGTTCGGGTGGTGAACTATTCATAACTCCCTTGTTGGTCGGGATCTGAATCTTGATCATCTTGATCTGAAATAGTTAATAAATTAGTGAGGTACACTAACACAATAAGAATATTATACTAATCACAAATACGGAAAACTGAATATTTGTAGAAATCAGGAAAATAACAAATAGAGCATTTTATTTAATGTAAATTCATTTACTATAAAGAAAGTCATTTATTATGTATTTGTGTAACAAGTATTTCCTATCAATAACTTATGAAAACTCATATTCATACACTATTATTTATCACATAAAAGATAACAATAAACGATCATCTTACATTTGTACCCGTTTACCGGTACCCCTAGGATATATAGAGATGTCATACTACTCGTGAACCCAATATCCAATTGAACAGTTAATCAGTCGTTTACATACCCCGTCTGGTATGGGCGTCAAACATGCCAACATCTCGATACCCCATCTAGTATGAGGGTGAACCGTGTCTCCGAAACCTTACTAGTAAGGGACTTCTCAGCCCCGTTTAACTGAAATAACGTTCACAGTAGGACTCTCTATGTACCAGGCTCGTTCGCCATTTTTCGGGTACCCAGTAAGTATTTTCTATACAGATTTCCATCAGTATAACAATCAATCATTCAATAACTATATTTTATTTTATACTCACCATTCACTTAAACAACAATATAGTTTAACACAGCTAACTAACCAATGACTTGAATACCGACACGCAATGCAGGGGAAACAAATAACAAAATAACCAAAAAGACCCTAAAAAATATCAATCGAGTTACGCACAGTATAATAGTAAATAAATATAGGTAATATAGGAAAATAAATAGAAAATCAAAACGACTGTGAACTAATCGGTTCTGCCTCTATTAGTGACCTGTAATTATTTTTAAGGTTCTCTAGTTTTTCATAAAAATATAAAATTATTAATTATTAAGCCTCAAATTGACGTAATAGAGAAAATGGTGAGAGATTCTTATCCGGATCGGTGTCCGAAATACCAAATTTTATACTGCGCCTACTGGCGGTTCCTAAGTTTTCTAATTTTTTATGCAGAGATTAAAACATATTTCACGTACCTAATAATACCCAAAAAAATTCAAAATCGGTGTTAAAAATCCTTTCCGGCCAATTTTGAGGTTCCAGCATGACGGCACTGCCGTGTTCCAGCGATGGCACTGCCGTATTCTAGCAACGACACCACTACCTGCGGTGGCAATTTGCCTCGACCTAGCCGTTTTCGGGCAGTTTTGGTTAGTTTCGACCGTCACCGCCTTTATATATATTAGTACAAAAAAATATGTTATGAGGTCTCGATTGGCCGAAAAAATAAAAAACTTACCGGTAATGGGACTTTTCGGGTGCGTGGCTCGCTTGCTCACTTCGTGGCTGAGATTTTTTCTTCAGTCAACCTGTAGAAAACAGATAGTGGACCTAACACTGAAAAATCGCACGAAACGAGAAACGAGA